GGGGGGGGGACACGCACAATAGCTGGGCCATGAAGGGGGAACAATAAGGAAACACGTTGCGTGGAAGGGAAGGTAGCGTGTGGGGGGTGGTTTCGTGAAGGGGGATTCCGAAGCAGCGGGGTTGGCGGGATCACGAAAGCGGGAAGTCACCCGCTGCCTCCTTTTGGGGCTCGATGCGGGTGAAGTTTTCCCGGGCCGGCTTTCGTGATCCCGCCGGCCGGTATCACGGGAGGGACGGTGCGTGAGTGGCCGATTTGAAGGGGTTCTCCGCTCCAGCGGGGTTGACAGGATCGCGAAGAGGGAGAATCACAATGTCCCCTTCTCGGAGTGCGGTGCTTAAACTCGGGCTTCGTGATCCCGCTGCGGCCGAGGCCACTTGGCCTCAAAGGACGGGGCGGGTTGCACTTAGGAATGGAAATTCTAAGCCGGCGAGACACGGAAAGCGACATGAGGACAGGGAAAATTGTGTGTCGCTGCGTATTAAGAACGTGAAAGCGTTGAACGACAAAGGCAGAGAGATGGATAGGACACTGGACACTATGTTCACGGATTCTGGAGCTAGTTCCCACGGTTGAGACATAACTATTGACAGCTTCGCGGTTCTGATCGGGAGAGTAAAGTTAGTCGTTTACTGGTGTGGAATAGCAAAGGAGGCTGCATTATTATCTGGGACGGATAAAGGTTGACATAAACGGGCAAAAAGAGATTTATATACGTCTCGAAACTCTAGAAAGCACGTTCAAGGAAACAGCATTACAACCGCTAATCACGGGGGCCGATAACAACAGGACACGACCATTGAAAGCAAGAGTCGAAGTTCAGAGAAGGAAGAGAGCTCAAGGAATAAAAGGAAGGCAATAAACCGTCAAAACCGTTATATCTTGATCACTGTTCGCTGCCGATTCATCGCAACTCGAGTATATTGACATCTCTTTATTTACGTCCGTGCGCAAGAAAAAGGGGCGTTGCTGTGGTTATCAACAATTCAGAGCAGACTGTCAACACCAAGCCCTGTCGCTGCAGACTTCATGCAGGGGGACTCCAAACAGAGTAGCTCAGCAAGACGTACATATCTGCACTGGGGCTTAAATACCAGGGCCACAAACTAGCTGGTGATGTTGCATTTGTATTTTGCACGACTTAGTTTGGGTGATTTTGCTGCTGTGGATGGTACCGTGAGTGCAGATGTGAGTCTGAATGCTGCACATCATAAAAGCACTGCACATATACTGGCACAAATTCAACATTGTTGCTCTTTTCAAACCCAACAAGAAAGCAAGCGCTATTTTACTAAACTAAACAAGCAAGAAAACCCAATCTCAAGGAGCCTCTCTCTCCAACATCTCCACCCAACTGTTTGAAGTATTCCCAAAAATGAAATACCACACCGGCAGGGCTAATAACAAAGACAGGCTTGGGGGTTGATCATGCTCCCAAGGGGGTCAAATGTTACCACCACTAAGAGAAGCCATAGTATTAACTCATCCTAGGAAGCCAAAAAATGCAGTGTTGAAACAAAGAGGCCAATTCCACTCAGAAATCCGAAAAAGGGGACGCCCCCCCACGAAAGGAACCCCCCGCCCCCAAAAAAAAGAACCCACCCAAAACAAAACTCAAACCCCCCAATCCCCCACCCCCCCCAAAAAACAGAAGTTGTAGTCAGACAGGGCGCCGGTCAGTGCATTCGGCCCGGGGCAGTATCCAACTAGGTACTTACACAACCTGACCACTACGGGAGGTAGTGTAGCTGCTGTTGGGGAACTGGTTCTCAGGGCTGGGTTATAAATTACCACTTGCGTACCTGCCCTACTTTCCCCTTTCCACAGCTTCCCTGGGGGGACAGGGGGTTTCAAGGGTTGTTGACTGTCACCAAAACATTTGAGGTCATGCTGGCCGTCTTATTGATGCCTGTTCCTACTTCACTTGACTCAATTGATGGCTTTGACCGTGATTCTCCGCGAAATTTGCAGGCACACCACTCACCTAATAAAATAAGTCGCCAGTTTTGCTGCCTGCGGGGTAACAGCCATACTGAATGCACAAAAGCATCTAGACACCACAATGTTGAAGTGTACGTACAATTTTCGAATCGAGGACTGTCCGTCATGTCCATCCATTGGGGAGGAATGGGACGAAGGGCTCTAAAATTCCGTCAGCAGAAACTACGATTACCAGTCAAACCACACCCACGCAAGCGTCAACCTTCCAAGACCTGTCAATCACTGATTTTCAAAACGGTCCAGATGGAGGGAAATAACAGTATAATAATCAAGAAAAACTGGCAAAAGGTGGAAGGAAGCATGTATTTTCTTCAACAACAAAACTACCTGAACAAAAAAAGATTCACAAATTAGGAAACCTGCTCGTATCGCAGAGGGCTCGAACCCGAACTAAATCTGAGGCGGACTGGACCTGTCCAGACCAGCTGCCTTATCCTAGTTTTAGCCCTCTTCTTCTTTTTATACCCTAGTCGGAGATTGTCTGCCGCATGGTTTTGTACTCAGCCTTGCTTTGCATTGCTGTGGCTGGCGATACCGCGGTCGGCATTACCAGTCCACAAATGCGAAAGAACCTAGGCACAAAAAGAATCAGCAACGCCAACACCGCAAGTGAAGGCTTCTGTTTTGTTTGATTGATAGTTTTTAAGCTCGCCGATGAGCTGGCAAGTTGGCAAAGTTACCGAGTGGGCGGCCGGGTAAAGGGAAAAAACCTCGAGGAAGATGGAGGTAGGGCGTTTCTATGCGGAGAGAGATCAGTTGGAAGGGCGGATTATCGATAGGGCCTACCCAGTCCTCCAGAGTAGTAGTAGTTGTAATGATCGAGAGTGCGGGATTTTTATCCGTAGCGTGCGGGCGAAACGGCGGCATCGGCTCCTAGTATGCTTGAGACAGGACATGGTCCAACACATCAACGTGTAGTGGGCATCGCGGCATAGCGGGCAATCCGACCCGAGGGCGGGAAACGGAGTCTGGACAAGTGTCAGAAACGATTTAACTTAAACCTCATGAGCTTATAAGTCTCAGAAGAAAAAACTAACCTTGAGAATTCCTATGCAGACAGCCGGGGCCCGTGATTAGTGTCTTAGATCGCCTTGGTGCGAGAGAACAAACTGCTGTAGACCGCGTCCACGACCGGAGCAGCAGTGATCATCCGCCCGTCAAAGTAACGGCCGTTGAGACCCTTGATGGCGTTCTCGCCGCCCGAGACCTTGTCGAACTTGAGGTAGATGTCGCCTTGCGAGTGGGCGTCGAGCGAGATGTGCACGACGTGGCCGTACTTCTCCTCGGCCTCTTGCCGCACCTCTTCTTCGAGCTCCTTGGCCCAGTCGTCACCCACTTGTCTGTTTGGTGTTAGTGACTTGTTTCTTGACAAAAGAAGGAAAAAGAAAAGAAAAAAGAGAAAAGGAGGACATACTCAGCGGGATCAAACATGTTGTGGAGGACCACACAGCGGCTGGCCATGCTGACATTAACAGGCAGTGGCTTCGTCTCCGTCTTGGGCTTCAAAATCTGCTGTCGCTCAGGTTGGCTGTTGGTAGCAGGCTCGTCAGTTCTCGCTAGCTTGCGCATGAGAGCGTCTCGGCTGTAGTTGTTAAAGTTGACACCGGCGACGTCGGTGTCGTCCAGGGCGCTGGCACCGGTGCCCTTCTCGTTATCGCGCGCTCCGGCACGGTCGAAGTTGGACGCCTGGGGACCGCGGCCCCCGGCTCCGGAGAAAGCAGATCCCTGGAACTGTTGATTCTGGCCTTGGAAACCCCGCAGGAGATTGGCAGTTGACTCTGGGGTAAACTTATCGTTTCCAAGTCCAACACGGATCGGGCGACCAGCCAGGTCAAACCCGTTCATCTTTTCAAGAGCCTCACGGGCCTGGCCAGCATCGCGGAATCTATGCAGTTTGTTAGTCCATATCACCACAACAGAAGGGGCAAGAGAACGTACTGGACAAAGCCATAACCGCGGCTACGGCCGCTATCATCCTTCTGCAGCTGCACAAACTCGAGCTCGCCAAACGGCTCAAAAACGTTCTGCAGGTCCGTCTCGGTGATGCTGAAGTGGATGTTGCCGACATACAAGCGGTGGAAGGGGATGGAGTTGGGGTGGCCGGACGACTCCGGGTTGCGGACTTGGCGGTTCTTCTCGGCCTCGGTGGGCTGGACGATGACGGGAATACCTAGGAGTTTCTGACCAGTGAGCTGGAGGGCGGCCGGGATGGATTCTTCACTCTTGAACTCGACATAGCCGACACTGCAACTGTTAGCAACTTTCAACAGCCAAACATACCGCGACGAGGAAAGACATACCCTTTAGACCGGTTGCTCACGCGATCCTTAACAATCTGCGCCTCAGCAACAGGACCAACTTTCTCAAAAAACTCCTTCAGCTCACGAGTCCGCAGCCGCGCAGCCAACTGCTGCACAAACACCGTCCTCCGATCCCGCTCATCCCCCGTCGGCGACGTATCCCGCGGGGTACTCTGCCTACCCCCCCCACGGCGGTGGTTATCATCATCCCGCCGGCGATACCCACGTTCGTCCCGGTCCCGATCCCGGTCCCGATCCCGGTCCCTCCGATCTTCCCCACCAGGCGGGCGGTAATACCGGTTCGGCGAGCGCGAGCGCGAGCGTCCACCACCACCGCCACCACCGCCTCCTCGACCGCGGTTGCTGCCACGGTAGTAGTCGCCATCATTATTATTTCTGTGACGGCGTGAGTGTCGGCCGGAATCACGACTTCTGCTCCGACGCCTACTACTCTTGTGGCTCCCGGCATCGCTACGCGGGGTCTCACGGCCGCTGGACGAGTTGCGGTATCGTCCGCCTCCACCGGCGCTACGGTCTCGTCGGCGATGGGAGCCGCCGCCGCCTCGGTCGTCTCCTCGGCTGCGGTCGCGGCTGCGGCGGTGGTCTCGATCACGATGGTCTCTGTCGCGTTCGCGGTCGCGGTCGCGGCCGTGCTCGCTGCGGCTTCCGTTGTTCTGGTGGGAAGGCGAGTCGCCGTTAGCAGTAGCCTTGCTGCCGGACTGTTGCTGCTCCTTGGAGGAGGCAGTCGAGTCAAGGAGGGCTTCCACGTCTAGGCCAGACATTTTTGTGTAGCCGTCGGCTGTTTTTTCCTTCCCTTTTTGTTAATTGCGCAGTGGCGCAAATCTGCGGTTGGGGTTTTTTTCTTGTTCTTGGTTTCGGTTCCCTTTTCTGTTGTGTTAGGCACTTTGGATACTTGATCGGATATGTACGCGTGCTCCTGTGTGCGATGCCGATGGTTTTTCGACTTAACGATGTGGGTGAGGTGAACGATGTGAGGGATGCCTGAAGAGGAAATTGACGAAGGGGCTGCGGCAGATGGCGAATGGCGTTTCTGACACATGTGGCTTGGTGCATCACGTGATAAAGCCGCGTTAATTGCAAGTAACATGGGAGAAAATTCTACACAGCCAAGCAGCTTAATGGAATTAGGCGCCAGAGTGGGTGGCCCGGGGGCTGGGAAAGGAAAATGAAAGGACGAAAAATGAACACACCGGGTATGCCGGGCCAAGCAAGCGATAAACCGCCGTAGAATTAACATTAACTATTTTGTGACCATGACCATCAACCTAAACCCTACAGAAAAAAACAAACCGAATCAAATGTTGAGACACCTTTCGTGTAGACTAGACCGCTTTGGATTTCCATTACAGAAAACCCTCCACAAACATTTGCAACAGCAGTGGCAAGCCATCACTGAGTCGTCTCATGATGGAGATGTCTTCGCCTCATTACAAGTTATATGTCTACCCAGTCCGACCCCGACCCCGCCCACATAATCGTTAGCTCATGCGGCATTGCCTGCCTCTTTTCCTGTTTGTCTCAGACTTGTTTGTCCCAGAAGAACTTCTTAGCCCTTCTTAGGCTTCATCACCAGCTCAGTGCCAAAGACATAATCCCACAGCGGGCTCGTCACACCAAAGCCGTTCTCGTAGTCAAGAAAATGGTGCTCAAGGTGGTACTTCTTGAGCTGCTTCCACCACAGCGGCAGGTTCTGGTGGTGGAGGAAGTAATGCGTCATGTCGTAGCAGATGTAGCCGAACACACCGCCGCAGTAGATGGAGGTGGCGATGCTCCAGTCCCAGAAGAAGAGGGTGTGCGCGAGCTTCCAGAAGGGCGCGGCGAGCGCGATGAAGAGCGTCGGTGGCATGACCAGGCGGTACTTGTCCATGGGGAGATAGTGGTGGATGCCGTGGAGGGTGAAGTGAAGGGTGATGCCGACGCGGTTGTCAGGGAGGTATCTAGGGAAATGTTAGTAAAGCTGCAAGATGCCGTAGATAGAGAGAAGGTAGGTAGAGACTCACTCGTCAAGGTGGAATAAGAATCGGTGCATGATGTACTCGATAAAACTCCACAAAAACACCCCCCCCACGAAGCACCCTACTTGTCCCAAGGGGTTCGAGAACCCCGGATTCGCCAAATACAAGCCATACCCAACAGCCGGCACCCACAACGTGGGCACCACCCACCAAGCCGTCTTGGTCAGCGGCTCGAGGATGTTCCCAAACAGCGGCGCCGACTCTCCGCCCTTGTAGTGGCGTGGCCGATGGACCTGGTCGAGGTAGAACTCCTTGGAGAACCCGCCGAACCAGACCTGGGGGAAAAGCGGTCGGCTCAGGTCGAGAAACTTGTGTGTCTTGTAGTCGGACGAGATGTCGGTGTCCTTGCTGAGGTCTTCCTCACACGACATGCCGGTACGGGGGTGCACCCAGGCGTCGCCGTTTGCGTCCCCATTGCTGTTGCCGTTGCCGTTCGCGAGGGCATCGCCAGGCTTAGTCGCTTTCCCGTTCGTGGTACCGTTGCTCCCAGATTCGAGGAACCCGATGTGTGAGTCTTCGAGCACTTCGTATGCGGCCTCGGAATGGGTGTGGGAGTCTTCGTCTTCCAGGATCGCCTTGATGTCTTTGCCGGCGTAATCGAGCACCAGGTCGCTGCCGCCGGGGTGGGAGTCTAAAAAGTCGGTCACGTCGTAGACATTGCGCCCGATGGTGACGTAGCAGGATTTGGACGAGTTGTGCGACTCGACCTCCGCGAGGGTGAGGGTCGGGAGGATCCGGCCGGGCATGTTGGCGGTGGCTTGTTTTTTTGTTTCTCGGTGTCGGAGTTCAGATGAAGTGATCGGTTGATTGGAGAATGAGGTTGATCAGGTGCACGAAGCACTCTATAAGCCGGGAACAACAGCGAGTACCGACAACAAAACGGCCAAAAATACGCGGGAACAAGGAGCGACGTGTGATGGGAATTTTAAAAAAGACACGGGAAGAAACGAAACGTCCGCAACTTCGAGATGATCAGGGGACGAGATTTGGGTCCAGGGGTTCAACGGCCGCTACGAATCAGGGACGCGCAAGCGTTTGGACCCATACGCAAATGCCGCCAAATGCAGCGGCGTCGCGGCCTGGGACGAGGTTTACAGGCTTGCCAAGGCTTTGCGGGGCCTGGGAACGTGCTGAGAAAACATGAAAACCGTCTGATTCCGGGCTTTCGGATCGGGATGCTCCCGTAGGTCCAGGTCGGCTCGGTCGGCCTGTTGGCAAGGCCGAACATCCCTTTGCAGAATACGACATGCGCATCCCGGTTTGCGCCGGAAAGACGTTGAGTCAACTTGAAAAGTAACTACCTTTTTTAGCCCTGGCCACGACATGCAAACGTTCAAACTTGGGCAGCTATCCTCATGCGATTAAGAGACGGGCTGAATGAGTTTAGGCGATAGATCGTTATACCGAATACGGCAATGTTATGCAATGCGTGAAGCCAGGGACTCAGGTCTTGGCATCAAGTGCCACCGACGGCCGAGGCATGGCGGGGCTGGTCTGCCCCTCGCGCGATGCGCTTTAGAGCCAAAGATGGGCTCCAGAACGAACAGTGATTTATAAGTTAGAACCAGCAAAAAGGAGTGTAGAACATACCTAAGTCTAATGTATGGATTAATACACAGTAATAGTTCATCTCAGTCTCTGCCCTCTGTGGCAGGGCTCTTCTGGCCGCGCTAAGAAGGAATCCTGCTGAAGTCTGACGTAAAGGAATCCATTCTTGGCACTGAGCTCACCTCAACCCGTCCTCTGTCCCGTGTTTGTTCAGCTTTGGAGGCCACCAACAATCCGTACTCTCAACGATCTCCAGGTCTTTGTCAACCTCTGCCTGTGAAATTGATTTGATCCGGCGTCTTTTGAACCGCGCGCAACTCGTGAATCATCCGCCAACCCCCCTCATTAACTGGCTGAAAGGTGACATTACTTGTGGGCTTCGCTGTAACCACAAAACTAACTTTTCATTCCAAAAAAAGCCGAACCGAGATCGGACACAACCGTCAACGATAAAGATCTTCTAACTCACAACCAGCACGATGGCGGGCCTCAGGATGGACTGGGGCAGCACGCTCCTGGTCCTCGGTCTTTTGCTTGTTGTTCTCCCCGGGAAAGCGGCCGCGTTTGGTGCGGGCAACATCCCGTCTATCGCGCAGGTCGAGGGCCACAACTGGCGTCATGGAGGTGAGTTAGTCGTCGTTGTCGATGTCGTACCTTCATACAGGAGTTTCTTTGTATCAATCCGTGGCTCAACGGCTAATGATCTCTAGATATCGAGGACATGCTCAAAACAGTCGCCTTCCTCCACGGCAAGAAATGGACGACCATGATGGTCGGCCGCGTCTACTTTGGCAACTGGCTGCGGGACTACTCCCAAGCCGTCGACGTGGGCAGTCTCAAGGGTATCAACGCAGCCACCATCCGCGTCATCGTCTGGGTTCTCTCCTTCATGGCCAACGGCTACGCGACCGAGGAATTCGAGGTCACCGAGGCGCGCCTGGGCGTCTACCGGCCCGAGGAGCACATCGACAACCCGCGCGGGTACGCCGATGACAAGGACGCGCGGGAGTTCGATCCGCGGCTGCGCGGGCCTGTTGACCGGCGCGAGCTGGAGGTTGATCCGCGTACGGGTATGAAGAATTACATCGCCAACGAGAGCGGCGGGTGGGCGACGAGTGCCGGGTACTTGCGCTGGAGTTTTGCGCGGAGTATTCACTACGGTCGGCTTTATACGAGTGGCGCGAATGGCACGTCTGGAAAGGAGGCGGATCTGTGTGAGGCGCTGCGGTGTTTGGGCCAGGCGTTGCACTGCATGGAGGACTTTGGCGCGCACACCAACTACTGCGAGCTGGCGCTTATTGAGCTGGGCCATCACAGCGTTTTTCCTCACGTCGGTAGCGCGACGCAGATTCATTTGAAGGGCAAGATGGTGTATCCTCTTGTCACTGGTACCTTTGGTGCGGTGGACTTTTTGCATTCCGTTATTGGGTAGGGTTCTTTCTGTTTGCCCTTGGTCAATTCCTAGACTTTTCCGCTGACCAGACTAGCGAGGCATCCGACCACTTCACCCAGTCCGAGGTGGACGAGATCGACATTGCTCTCAAGAACGCCGAACAGCTCAACAAGGGCGGTGGCGACGGCCAGCGCGGCTTCTTCAGTTCCGGCTCCGGCTCCGGGGGCAGCGACTTCATCTCGCTAGTTAGCCAAATGCCCGGCGTCGGGGACGGCTTCGCCTCGCAGGCCCGCGACCTCAAAGCCGCGTCCGCCGCGCAAGAACAAGAAAACATCCGCGCCGGCAACAGCAACATCATACCCGGCATGTCCCCCAACTTCGACCCGGTCAAGGTCTCCGGGCAGATCTACCCAATCCTCCAATTCCGCGACCGCATCGTGCGGTCCATCAACAACATGATCTCCAAAGTGCCCGGGCTGGAAAAGCTGCTGGAGCACATCAGCGAGACGCTGACGGCGTTTGTGCTCGGTCTGTTGGCCCCCTTCGTGCGGCCCATCATTAACCAGGTCAGCAAGGCGCTCAAGGAAGGGTCGTCGGGGGTCATTGCCACGAGCGCGAACCAGCAGTTTGAGCCGTGGACTAACCCGCATTGTTCGGATCCGACGCACTCGATGTTGTCCAAGGACCACTTTACTAATATCCTCAACTCGTGCGGTGGGCGGGTGTCGGTGACTATTCTACAATATGTCGTTCCGTAAGCCCCCCGTTTTTTCTACCCTCCTCCCTCCTTCCCCCTCTCCTCCCATCCCCCCTTATTACTCCTTTACCCAGTACTGACATACCCCGCCAGCCGCATCATGCACGCCTGGGAAAACCCCGGCGTCCCCCTCCCCGAAATAATGTCCGACATCCTCCGCGCCTTCCACCACCCCGCCGCCCGCGACGACCGCATCGAGATCCAGCGCGAAATGTTCGAAACCGTCCGCAAATGGGCCCAAGAAACCCCGCACCGCAACCGGCTTGACCATTTACTCTCGTCGGAATCGGTCCGTAACCATAAGAATCATGTTCTTAGCTCCGGCGGTTCTGGGAGCGGTGGTGGGTCTCGGGGGGTTCCTGGTGGTGGTGGTAGCCCCGCTGGGGGGTGTGGACATGGTTCGGATGGGGGACATGGTCGGCCGGCGGGGTCGTTGTGGTCGCATATCCAGAATGTTAACCGTGATAATCAGCAAGGGGATAGCGGTCCGGCAATGCACGGCCAAGCAGCGAGTTACTACGCTTCTGCCAGTTCCCCGCAGCCACCTGCTTCCTACAGCGGCAGTGGTCCGGGACCGTATGGCCAGCCGCAGCAGCAACCGCACGGTGGTGGTGGTGGGGGATACCCGGGTCAGGGATATCCGGGGCAGGGGGGGTATGGGGGACAGCAGCATGGACAGCAGCCGCCTTATGGAGGAGGAGGGTATCCGCCGCAGCAGCCGCCGCCGGGGTCTTGGGGTGGGGGTGGGTATGCGCGGTACTGAGTTTGGCTTGGTTGGTGAGCTGGCCCAAGTCAGTCGTCGGTCTTGGAGGGCCTTAGGGAGTGCCACATGTCCGAGGGGCGGTTGTATTTGGATCGGAGAGCGTACGGGTCGATTGCATGGGATATGATGTCGAACGAATGGATGAGTGAACGGATGGACGAGTGAATGGATGGGCACACGAGTAGATGAGTAGATGATGAACCCAACGATGGTTGATATCCCAGGTAGTCAGTCAGTCAGTCAGGTCTCCTTGATTCAAGATTTCCTTGTACTAAACTAACTACATGTACCCAATCAAGAGACGGACGCCCGTTTCGTGAATTGTTTCATTGTTTATTGCTATTGCTGTTGCTGTTGGAATCAACAGACACCTCCGTTCTGTCCACTCTGTGTCTCTTCTTTACATGCCCTGTCTATTTATTGCACGAGTCCAATGGGGAATCTATCTCTCGTTCGTTCTCGTTCGTCTGTCTTTCCACGCGCCGGGTCGCTGTTTGGACCATATCTGGAAGTCCCATCCCGTCTTGATATTCTCAACTCAGCTTTCCCTCTCTCTCCCGTTCTGGTATCTCCTATGCTTATGCTACGACACGCCACACCATATTATGCTCATGCTCAGTATGCAAGCCGCCGCCTAATGTCCACCCAGATCACCGACCCTATATTGCCCCAAGAACAACGGTCAAAAGTCGCAGTCCCTCATCTGGACATGCATGTGGAAAGAATCTATCAACAATTACAACAACATGACCTCAAAATCCCCCCCATAAACAGCGAGCAGGGGAATCCCCGCCATAAACCGAGAGCAGAGAGCAGAGAAAAAATCAACACCTCCCCCTCCGCCTCGGATCCCCCGCTTCAGCCCTCCTCATCTCCCTCATCTCCCTCGTCCCCAAACTCCCCACCCCCCCCTCACTCCTCCTCTCCCACCCGCCGAGCCTAACCACCAAACACGTAGCATTATCCCCATCATTCGACACCTCCGTCGCATACTCCACCACCTTCCTCGCGCCCTCCTCCGGTGTCCCAGCCTCCTTGATAACATCCACAATCTCCTGGTCGCCTAGCGAGCCGCTAACGCCGTCGCTGCATAGAACGAGGAAGGAGAATTCCGCCGGGCGGAGATCGACACGGACTACGTCTGGTTCGGCGGAGACGCCGGTGCGTTTGGCTTGCATGTCGCCGAAGGCGCGGCTGTTGGCGAGTCCGCGGATGCGTTCCTCGCCAAAGGAGTCGGTAACAAGGGAGTCTGTGACAAATCGGCGTAAGCGGCGGGATTCGGCCGGGGTAGAAGGGTGGTGGTCAGAGGTAAGCGGGAGCGGGCGGCCAGTGGCAGTTTCGCAGAGGAGGATGCGGGTGTCGCCGACGTGGGCGACGACCAAGGTGGAATGGGCGGCTGGATGCCAGAAGGGGGAGGGGGTGGGCGTGGAGATTAAGGCGACGGAGGCGGTGGAGCCGCCTTTGAAGCGGACGGGTCCGCCGATGCCGTGGCCGGAGGGGGGCAGGTGCGGGGAGCCGAGGATTTCGTCTTTGTTGAGGGGGAAGTCGGAGATGTAGGGGTCGTCGGGGTCGGGTTTGCGGGCTTGGGCGGTGACGAAGTCAAGGTCGGCGCGGAGGAAGGCGTAGGTGAGGACGGATTCGAGGGTGGATGGAGAGGAAACCGACGAAGAGTCGGAAGAGGAGGTCGAGGAGAGGGACGAAGAGTATCCGGGATCCCGCGTGGATGGAGCCGTGGGAGCGGAAAAGTGGCTGGGTTTAAAGCGGCGAAAGTACCCGCCTATCGTGCGCTTGTACTCGGCGAGCAGCTCCGATTCAAGACGGGGCCCCGCGGACGATGAATCCGTAGTTCCTTGCGACTGCTGGCCGTCGGTTTGCGAGGTAGATTGAGATACAGACTCCCGACCGCCGGAAATAGTATCCGGATCCCCCATCGAATCGGGAATACCCGGTTCCCGTTTCAAACTGCTCTCAAGCCCAAATTCCTCCGCGGCCTCCTCAATGTACCCATGGAGTTCCTCCCTCAAGAACTCGCTACACTCGCTCCCACCATGCCCGTCAAACACCCCAAAATAAAAGATCTGCGGATCCCCCAGCGAGCTATCAGCGCTGGTACCCTCCCCTTCCCCCGCGACCCTCGCAGCCTGGCGACGGGATAAACTGATAGGCACTCTCTTCGCAAAAGCCGGGATCCGGATAGTCCCCGCCTGGTTCGCGTCCTCATTGTAGTGGCGCTGGCCGCGCGAGTTGGACGCGCCGAAGTGGTGCTTGGCGCTGCGGAGCGGAATCCGGACGACGGTCAGATCGCGGCTGGGCATGTTGGGGGGTGACACGGCCGGCGCGGAGCCGGGGCCCGGGGTGTGCGGGGTCGAGGCGGACCGGGGGAGTTTGTGGCCTGGTCCGGCGGACGAGCGGGAGTCGGGGTGGAGGGAGGAGGACGGGAGGTGGGTGACGAAGTAGTTGTGGAAGTGTCGTCGTGGGGATCGCTGATCGCCTGGTTGTATTCGTAGATTTGCAGTATTCCGCTGAGATAACCCTGGTGTTCGCGCGAGGACTCGGAGGGGCCCTCGAGAGCCGGCGCTTCGGACTGCGCATGTCGACATGGTCATTGTTCGCCGCTGTTGGTGTTGTTTCGGCCCGTGGAAAAACGTTGCGATGTAGCCCGCAAAGACATCGAGGAGGGATTCTGGCTGCGGTGGGCGATTCGCTCGTTGTTGGATGTGAATTGGGGGGAAGTGGGCTCGACGGCGTAGGGAGGCCATGGGGGGGTTATTGACGGTCGAGTAGTCTAGGCATGTTCCCGGGTGGATGGCACAATGGGAAGTTTGGTCGGTGGTAGATGCAGGGCCTTTACACAGCAGGTGATGCGGTGAGAAAGGCTGATCTTGGGGATTTTGTTGGGGTAGAGTTGCAGGTTGAGTGCTAAGGTGTGACGGCAGGTGAACCACTAAAACCAGCCTGTTGGCGGGTCTCGATGTTGGGTGTCAGGGCTCAGGGGTTCCACGCCTGCACTTAAAACGGGTCACATGACGCCTGGACCATAGGGGGTGATTTGCATGCTTTTCACCACCTTTCTCAGTTCCATTTGCACAAACCTCAACACAATGAAGCGCAAGAAATCTGGCACGCCATATGTCTCTTCGCCTTTTTTTCTCTCCTCACGAAGAGTCAGGTCTCACAATGGTAGAACCCTTTAACCCCCATGACTGAAGGTGAATTCGTCCCGGCACTTTTGGCCGTCGCTTACTCAGGTGTAATCGGTTTCTGGTATCTAACTATCTATTGCCTGCAAAGGTAACTGACTACGGTACATACATGTACGTACCTGGTCAATGACCACGGCTTAACTAAAACGGCAGAGGTTATTCATCACACGTTGAAGCACCCTTCTTAGCCCCATGCCGTACACTACTTGCGGCTCATGCTGATGGTGATGTGGTCCATTGGTGAGAAGTTGTGATGAAGAGGTGCCCGTTGGTCATTGCTGCCCTGCATATGTTCCCATCTTTGCACTTGAAGCACCCCTGAACTTGACATCTTGCCTATGAGCATACCTCACTCAGTCTAGTCAGAGCATACTAGGCCCAATCTGTTTTACGACCGTTTAATTCTAGTGTCTTCAGACTACCTTTTTCTCATAACAGCGTAGAAATACCGAACCTTCGTTCAGCAGGTCCGTCAGCGTCTCACCCCTGTCGCGGGGTTAGGCAACGTCATTTAGTGGGTAGACCGCAGCGCCAGAGCCTTGCAGCCTAACTTGCACCTCATAGACCATGCTGTCAACAACTTCAAGAAAATTACCTTCATCCAATACCTTAGATTCAATTTTTATGAGCCATTTGACAACATACTGGGACACCCCCCTCGACCGCATGATCACTTCCCCGCACGATGGGCGAAACGGCAGAAGGCCAAGACGGCGACTCGGCTGATTCAGCCACAACAACAGCAACAGCACCATCAACAAACCTAGAATTCGATGTCGTAGATATCGTCCCAGACGGGGATCTCCTCCTAGACGTAACCTTCGAGACCTCCCCCGAAACCCTCAAAGCAGCCCGCAAAGCAGCCAAGCCCCGGCCCGGCCAAAAAACCACCCCTCCCACCTTCAAAGCCAAAACCCGCGTCGGCTACCGGGTCCAACTCGCCGTCCTGAAGCAAAACTCAAAATACTTTGACAACCTGCTCAGCGACACCCGCTTCTCTGAAGCCCGGTCCATCGAGGCCAGCCTCCAGCAGCTCTCCCTGCGTAATGTGAACCCCTCCGAAGCCGACGCGGCCGACTTGCCGGTAGTCAAAATCCTCGAGGACGACGAGGCCACGCGTTCGGCGGGCCAGGACTCCGCGTTCGCAGATCTCCTGCGTATCCTGCACCGGAAGCAATCCACCTCTGCCGCCTCAGCCAAGACGGTGAACATGCAGTACCTGGCGGTGCTGGCTGTGCTGGCAGATCGGTTTGATTGTATTGGGATTATGTCGCGGTATCTGAGTGCGCTGAAGTACAAGTGGCCGGCGACGCAGACGAGATTGGCGAGGGAAGATGGGCCGGCGCTGTCGTTGGCGGCGGAGGAGATGTTAAGGCAGAAGATTCTGGTGGCGTGGTTGCTGGATCAGCCGCCTAAGTTGCATACTGCTGCAAGGGAACTTATTATGTATGGCTCGCGACGGTGGAGTGCATCGTTTGAGGAAGGGGATGACGACGAAAATACGCCAATAGCGGCGTGGTGGGATCTACCTGATGATCTGGAGCGTGAGGCCCCTTTACTTCCCAGTCCAACTCCCTACAGGACTAAGTGACCCAAGATATTGACACAAACAAAATGCTCCAGAAGAACTCCACCACCGCCGCGCCAGCATCCTCTCCACCATAGCCTCCATCCAGCAACACTTCCTCTCGCTCTACACCTCCCGCACTCGCCAATGCAAACTCGGCTACGAGTCCTCCGCCAGCTGCGACTCCTACCAGCTCGGCGAAATGGTCAAGTTCCTCTGCAGTAAGGACCTCCTCTTCCTGACCGATTTCACCTTTTCCTCCTTTCCCTCTCCCCTTTCTTCTTCTTCCCCTTCCTCACCCTCTCCTTCGTCCTCGTCCCCGGGGGTTACGGACCGCATAGCAACAACAGACATAGGCGCTCTCCTCGCCTCCCTCAAACAATGTCCCACCTACCAAATCGACAAACACCACACCAACTGCGGCTTACGCACCCGCTTGCTGCCCATTGTTGAATTTGTCCAGGCCATGTTGTCGTCTGCGGCGGTGTCAATTTCTCGGACGGCGTGGGTGAGGGATCGCGAGGGGACCGCTTGGTCTTTTAGGGAGCAGAATGATGGGGAGTATGGCGACGGTGACGGAAAGAAGAAGGGGGGGAGAGAAAAAAAGGTGTTTCGGTTTACGCGCGGGATGACGACGGATCAGAGGTTTAGGTATGAGGGTGCTATGGCGGCGGATCGGATGGCTAGGGCGTTGTTTACGGCGGATGAGTGGGATTGGACGGCGGAGGAGAGGGATGAGGGGAGGGGGGTGGAGTTTGGGCGGTGGCCGGTTGCGAGGTAGTCAGAAGCCCTTGTACAACTTAGGGTTATATCAGATGATGGTTAAGTGGGAGCAGGTTGAAGAAGAAAAGAACCATTGATATATTCCATCCCGTTTTTATATCCAAGCATGCCAGAACGCCGTATCACCTGTCCTCCGAGACTTTTACCTGTCGATGTTCTAACAATTACGTAGACACCGAAGTAGCCCTATCCCTCACCACCGATTTATCCCCCGACACAACACTTTCCTCGGCTCCCGAGCGGGACCCTCCCGAAACCGACGCCGCGGCGACCTTCTTGGGCTTCATCAGCGGCCAGTGGCCCTTGACCTCCTTGTAGCGCATGACGATAAAGTACGCCATAATACACAGCCAATACAGGTTGTATGAGATGACAGAGCCGTACGTAGCAGAGTTTGTCCAGCCGAAAATGGCATTGAAGAAACCCCAGCCGCTACCGCCCATGTAGATGGGGCTGCAGCACTGTTCAGAGTTAGCACACACCTTCAGGGGGAAGAAAGGGGGTTCCGCCAAAATATGGGACAAAAAAAAAAGAAACGTACGTTGAGATGCCACACCGAGCGGTCAACGTCGTACGAGCCTGGCCCCGTGCCTAGCTCGGCCGCGTCCGATCCGATTAACCGCTGCCAGGCGTCCTGCTCAAAGGCCCACACCGCGCGGGTGAAGAGGCCGGCCGCGACGAGGTAGAGCAGGCAGGTGGACAGCACGAGGAAGACCTGCAGCTTGGTGTTCGAACCGCCCCTTGAAAAACAAACACAACATGGTCAGCTCGGCTCGGCTCTTCCGGTAATGGGACCAAAGATACTCACTTGTACAGCCCATAACCGATCAACGTACCCGCAGCCAACCCAACCACCACCGCCAATGGCACAGCCGTCGCCGGCGCAGTAAACGTCACCCCCGCAATAAACACCACCGCCTCAATCCCCTCCCTGAGCACCGTCACAAACGGCAGCGCAAACATAGCATACCTCTCCATCCACAACTTCACCCTCACCCTCCTCCCCACCTTCTCCCCAACTTTCTCTTCTTCACCCTCCACCACCACCACCCCATCCCCAGCACTCCCCGCAGCCAACACCCCCCTCCGATCCTCCATAACCCCGGCCAATTTCACCCGCCACTTATCACGCATACCCCCGATACGCAATAGCGCAGCGCCGACAACGGTGATGATGACACAGGCGACGAGAGAGAAGGCGCCTTCGAAGCGGAGCTCCGAGGTCTCCCAGGAGTTGGCGCCGGCTGTGTAGAAGACGGCGATGAGGGCGGCGGCGGCGATGAGGGTGATTAGCAGGCCGAGGGAGGTGCCGAGCCAGACCTGGTGGTTGTTAGTTTGTTTGTTTGGAGCGTTTGAATTGTTGTGGATTTATTGTTTATTTTTTCTAAAAAAAAATAAAATAAAATAAAATAAATACTCAGGGGCGGCATACCTGGCGGACGAGGCGCTTATGCAGCGCCTTGTCCTCGGCGAGGGTCTGTTTGAGAAAGGCGAGCAGCACCGAGACGATAATGACCGTCTCGAGCGCCTCGCGGAACGTGACGAGGAAAATGGGAACCGAAAAAACATCGGGCATTTTGGCGGTGGGGGGATGACACGCTTCCCAGTGGAATGAGAACTAAACTAAACACCAGGGATAAGGAGTGAGAGAGAAGGACGTTGAGGTATGTCAAAGGTGGTGTTAGTCTGTAGAGGGGGGGGAAGAAAAGATTATCAGATCAGGAGATGTCCGGAGCGGCACATGCACAGTAATTTGGGCCCATCAGATAACGCTGCGGATCAATCACACACCGCAGACGGCAACCCCGGCAAAAATGGCTCGATGAGCCGACGGCGGAAGGCGCGATGGCCGGCGCACAAATTTCGAACCCTTCTCCCACTACATCCGAAAATTCCCCGAAATCTGGGATAAACTCCTCTCTCCATTCTATCCTCGATCTTATCAGGGTTGGCACACAGTTTCTTTCTCGAATATGCCGATTCTTGTCGGTTCTTAAACACTTCTCCCTGTTGACATGCTCTCAAGATACTCTGTACTTCATCCGAGTTTCTCGACCCCTTGGGCACGAGTCAGGCCCTCAAGGTACCGATCCTGCCGCTCAATAAAAAACCGGCATCCTCGTTTCAAGCTGAGCGGGCAGCCCCTCAATTACCCGCTGCAATTCTCACGCCGAGCGCAGCGAAGCTTAGCCAAGTGTAGCCAAGTCAGTTCAAGCGTTGCGGATCATGTCCCCCCAGACAATAAACCTGCAGGGCGGTCCCCACCTGAGTGATCCGAGTGGGTCTTATGGGTCGATACTGGGGGTCCATCGCTGGCGACTCGAAGGGCTGGAGAAAAAAAAGAAGCTGAAAGACCTCGGCTTTGGGCGGTCTGCGGGAATAAATGGGATTCTCGTTGCGGAACGGCGAAATTTCCTAAAAGACACAGATATTTTACATTCGAGAAGACTTCGACTCGAGAGGAACATCATCAATGACCACGGAGTCCTTGGGATAAGAGGACAAAAGGCCGTGACACAGTCTTGTCGGCAGTTGTCGAGAACAGAGCGCCCGGAAACGGGTACGGCTATCAGACCACTCTCGCATGAACAAGAAGGGAAAAGACGGCTTCTTGTCCCACCCTCCCACCTGCATCGGATCAGACGCTCGGCCGCATGGGGATGGAAAACGGGATGTGAGAAGTCCCCTGGCACTTTCTCGTTCTTCTGCCCCCCTTCCCCCTCCTTCAATTGCCCTCACCGGGCCAATTTGGGAATTTGATAGGCCTGCGTTTGGTGCGGCTGATTATCTGATCTTGAGATTTGATTGATAAATCTTTTGCACTTACACCACATTTCTCTGCCCCGAAAGCAGCGCTAGCCGCGTTTTCCGCTCCGGTTTTTTATGTGTCTTAAAATTGGAATTTGTATCATCCTTTGGTGTCCTTTCTCTCCCTAAAAAAGTGAACGGGACTTTGGTTCCATCACGCGAGTCCCAACAACAACACCACCAGCATGGCTCACACCGGCCTCATGCGCCGCTCCGGGCTGATCTGGCTGGCATGTCTCGCCTGGCATGCCCTCGTGGCCGGGGCAGCCACGGTGACCTACGACTTCGAGGTAGGCTGGCTCACGGCCAACCCTGACGGCGCGGCCGACCGCCCGGTCATCGGCATCAACGGCCAGTGGCCGATTCCGACCATCCACGTCAACAAGGGCGACCGGCTGGTGGTCAATGTCCTCAACTCGCTCGGCAACCAGTCCACCTCGCTGCACTTTCACGGCCTGTTCATGCGCGGTGCCACCCATATGGACGGGCCGGTGCATGTTTCGCAATGTCCCATCCTGCCGGGCGAGAGGCTCACCTACAACTTCACTGTGAGTATCCGTACACCCCCGTCTTCTGCGCCGTACCACTGGGCGATATACTCACAAACAAAACTAGATCGACCAACCCGGCACCTACTGGTACCACTCCCACATCCACGGCCAGTACCCCGATGGTCTGCGCGGGCCGTTGGTCGTGCACGACCCGGACTCGCCCTTCCAGGACCGCTACGACGAAGAAATTGTCATGACCGTGTCCGACTGGTACCACGATCAGATGACCGGCCTGATCGACTTCTTCATGAGCAAAGCCAACCCGACCGGCGCCGAGCCCGTGCCGAAGTCGGCCCTGCTCAACGAGACGCAGGACCTGAAAGTGCCATTGCAGCCCGGGAGGACCTATCTCTTCCGCATGGTCAACATCGGCGCCTTCGCGGGGCAGTACGTCTGGTTTGAGGGGCATTATATGACGATTATTGAGGTGGATGGCGTGTATACGCACCCTGCAGAGGCGAGCATGATTTATCTCTCGGCTGCGCAGCGGTGTAGTTTCTTGATCACTGCGAAGGAGGGGGCGTCAACCAATTTCCCGTTTATGGCGAGCATGGATACTGTAAGTTGGCAACCCACGCTGTTAAGGTGGTGTGAAACCTGTCTCTAACCTGGATAGGACCTCTTTGACGCCATCCCCGATGACCTCAACTGGAACGTCACTGGGTGGCTGGTGTACGACGACAAGAAACCCCTTCCTGAACCCGCCGAGGTCCCTGGTGTCTTTGAGCCGTTTGACGACATAGGACTTGTACCCTGGGATAACCAAACCATCTTCACAAACCCGGACCAGTCTGTCTCGCTTGACGTCATCATGGACAACCTCGGCGACGGTGCCAACTAGTAAGTCCCCCCCCTTGTTGGCCCCAGTCCAAACACATACTCACCAACGCCCAGCGCCTTCTTCAACAACATCACCTACGTCGCCCCCAAAGTCCCCACCCTCTACACCGCTCTCACAGCCGGCGAGTACGCAACGGACCCGACCGTCTACGGAACCTACACGCACCCCTTTGTTCTCGCCCAGGACCAGGTCGTCGAGATCGTCCTCAACAACCTCGACCCCGGCAAACACCCGTTCCATCTGCACGGCCACGACTTCCAGGTCGTGTGGCGGTCCGACGATGACGCAGGGCCCTTTGTCGACTCGGGCGTCTCGGAATCGGAGTTTGTGCATGTGCCCATGAGACGGGATACCGCGGTGTTGAGGCCGAATGGGAATATGGTGCTGCGGTTTAGGAGTAATAATCCTGGTATGTCCTGCCGCTTTACTCCAGTCCTCTAACCCTGTCCCCCACCCCCCGACCTGCAAATAATCCATACTAACATACCCACCCAGGCGTCTGGCTCTTCCACTGCCACATCGAATGGCACGTGCAGTCCGGTCTAATGGCCACCTTCGTCGAGGCACCACTAGAATTGCAAAAGTCCTTGTCCATCCCGCGGGATCATTACGCGGCGTGTGAAAAGGGCGGCATGCCCACGGTGGGTAATGCTGCCGGCCACGGTACTGTGGATGGCAATCGGAAGGTGGTTGACGATGGAGCGGGATGGTTGGATCTGAGTGGGCAGAATGTCCCGCCGCCCGCGTTGCCTGATGGGTGAGTTCCTTTTTCCCCTATCTCTCCCACCCGCTCGCCCCTTTTACCAATCTCAACCCACCTCTTACCACCCCCCAACAACCCCCCTTATTCATCATCTACGTACGTCCCCACTAATACACGCTACTTCAGATTCACCACAAAAGGCATCGTCGCCCTCGTCTTCAGCTGCCTCAGCGGTATCCTCGGCGTATCTGTCGTCGCCTGGTACGGGTTCGCCAATGGTATTAGTGCCGGCAGTGACAGTGATACCCGCGGCGGTCAGCGGACAACAGGATCTGGAAGTGAGGGTACCTCAGAAGGTGCCTTGGGAGCTGGGTTGGGGGCGGGAAAGACGAGTGGAGAGGGGACGACGGTGGATGAAGTTGGGAGGGGTGATGTTGATCAGGCGGGTGGGGAGGGGAGGAGGCGATGATACGCGGTTGATGTACGGTGGGATATGATATGGTACTTATAGGATAGAAAAAAGGTAACTAGGTGGGTTATGGGTATGTTTTCTTCAACTGGATTCGAAGTCAGCCATAACTTACTGCAATCACTCAGTGCTCGTGGAATTGCTAGAACGAGTTAGTTTCTGTAAGTTCCGTATCTAACTTAAGATGCGAGAGAGTCAACGTCTTAGCCTAGTTCAACCCCCACCAACTACTCCCCACCCTCCTCCTCTCCGTTGAATCAACCGAGACAAAAGTTTCCGTCCGCCCAGACCACTCTTCCAATTCCTCGTCGTCTGCTTTCCCCGACGGCGAGCCATCCACGGTTACTACCGCATTTATTTTACTATCATTCCAACCATTTTTGTTAACGTTCTCGTTACCTCTCCCGATTTCGTCGTGATTTTGACCATTCTGACCCTTTTTATCCCCTGGATTACCGTCATTATCACCACTACCAACCCCAACTCCCCCATCCTTAGTTTCTACCTCTTCAACCACCCCTCTGGTCTCCCTCCCTTCAACTACCTCCCCTTTAACTACCTCCCCATTAATCCCCTCATCAACCCTTTCTCCTTTCCTCTCCGCAGCAGCATCGTCCATGCCCATGCCCATGCCCATGCCCACCCCCACAGCACCGTCCTTCACAGCATCAAAACAATACCTCCCCAGCGCATCCACCACCAACTGAAACCCCTGATCATCCGGCGTCTCGAAACGGACCATACCCCGATGATCTGCCACAATACCCGCTCGCTCGGCGTCATTGTCATGCGGCGGTACGGCACTTGTGTGCGGGACTATGAAGACTGCTTTGCCTAGGGTGAGGGTGAAGAGCGGTGCTTTGGTTTCTAGGAGTGGATTTGGGTTGGTGCTAGTGCTGGTGTTAGAAGAGTTGTTATTGTTGGGGTTAGTGTTGGTGTTGGTGTTGGTGTTGGAAGTGTTGTTGCTGTTGCTGTTTGCGTCCAACAAAGTCTTAGAAGAGGAAGGAGAGGAAGACAGGATAGTTGCGATGCGCCGATGTAACCCCAGCGGTTTAAGACTCCACCCCAAATAAGTCTTCCTCGTCTCCCAGAAATAAAAGATCCAAAACCGCGACGCCAGCGGGACGAAAAAATCCGTAACGTTCTGCAGCGTCTCCGACTCGTGCTCGAGGGCTGCGACAAGATCTGACCGGCGACTGGCCGTTCCTAATGTAGCGGCGGCACCGGCGCGTTTGAGATATACGAGCCAGGTTGCTTTGGATATGCCATTATGGGGTGTGCCGAAGAAGAGGATGTTATAGGTATAGGTGAAGATGGCGTGGTCGGTATAGCCGGTTCTCGTTTGAGCGTAGTAGAGGGCCTTATAGTAGTTGGTATTAGTCGGGTATAGGATTCAAAGGAAGAAGTAAGATCAGGGAGCAAACGTACACGTTTTACGACGATACCACCAAGAGAATGGTAGAGGAAAATAATAGGTTTGTTAGCACTGCCCGAGAGCTGAAATGTCATATTACATCAGAAAGCTACATTACTATATCCTAATAGAGGGGCTATTTTATATATATTATACTAAATTGTAAGAAACTGGCCCTATGGTGGAGTACAGATAGGCGTTTATTATGTTATTGAGAAAGCTTGCAGAAAGAGAA